CCCTGTGGAGTCAGGACCCGACCCTGAGGACAAGAAGCTGGGCTGCAAGTCCTACCACTCAAGAGACAGTGGTAACACTAGTGAATCAGCACACCAACGTATGACTGGAAAAGACAGTGCCAAACCTAGTTCAAACTCCAGAGGCTTAAACCATTCAGGGATACAGGAGCTGGGTCCCCTGGTGACAACCTAATGAGTTGGCAAGCAAAGGAAGGAAGGCGACAGGGCAGAAACAAACATTAAAACTAAGGATACTGTAGCAAGTTTCTGCTCATCTATAATTCAGATATTCCAGTAATCTCCAAACAATCTCCTCCCCTTGGATCAATATTGTTTTTAAACTTGTCATTTTGTAAGGGGCAAGGGACACTTTTGTACTGATGTGTCCCTCACTCTGACAGCATGAGACCACAGGCCTTATACCAAACACTTAATGTTAGTCTTTCAGATAAGAGGGGATTTGTGTTTCAATATAGCCAAATTCACAGCACAACTGTCGATGGTGAACAAAATTAAGTAAATTGCAAAGGAGGAAAATGTCTGTCATCAAGAGACCCTTAGAGTCTCAAATAAAAACCTCAAAAGCAGCCTGGTTACCTTTCCGCTTGACCAGAAGTGCAAGTTCCCTTGTGTGTGATTCTCTGCTGGCTTTTATAAACATGACCACTTGGTCATGAGTGTGCTCTGAGATGTCTCGGCCATTGATTAACACTATCTGATCACCTTCATTTAGTTTTGGGATGCATATATCCGCCTGTTTCAAGACCAGAAAAAGAGAGACAAATGTCATTCTGCACAACCCAATAAGTAGAGACAAAGACAGAGGCCAGGTACAGGCATTATGTTTCTATCAGGAGAATGCTGCTCTCCCAATAGAAACTACAAGAGTTCATTCAGTTTCTCCTGGAGGAAACATGCCCCCTCTGGGAGAAAGATCCTCCAGGTGACAAAGCCTGTTCAAGGCCAGAGTTCCTCTATTCTCAAGGAACAAGGTTGGTTAGGTAGCACAGCCTTGAGGTCTCTTGACTCATACCAGGAGCATCATCAGATAGGGCATTTTTACATGTGCTCTGGGACTGTGGGGTAGGAGGGGGGAATGCTTTAATTAGAGCGGCTCTCAGATGCTCTAAAGTGCCTGGAGCATCTTGTGTATCAGCATCCCAGTGCTTCAAAATGGTAGCAGGGGGTGCTTTAAAGCTTGTTTAAGGCTTTAAGGCTGCCTCCATGCTTGTGTACAGACACCTATAGATTGAAAATCTAAAGCATTTAAGTAGTTTCAAAACTCCATAATGAAGACAAAAGAAACAGCTTAAACACATTAACAGCTATGAAAACATTTCCAGTGCTTTGGCATGTTTATTTACCAGAAAGCCACCACCAAATACAATGCAAGTACAAGAGATTTAAGAATATCTTTTATTCAGTGGGTAAATGCTTTATTAAATGAATAAAAACCAAAACTTGTTCCTGCTCCTCACTGCAATAGTTAACACCTGCTTCCTTTTATTGGTTAGACATTTTTAGAATTCTTTTGAGGTTCATATTTCTAAATGATTGTTACGGTAGTTCAGGCAGATATTCAGCTGTCACACTTTTCTAGACAAAACTGTAAATGCTTTTTATTTACATATGGCCTTTTATACAAGATTTTGTTTCTCCTGCATGTCCCCCAGAGGCTTGAGGAAGGGTACTGTGATACCCAAAACTTGTCTGTCACAACCATGTATCTGGTCCAATAAAATACGTCATCCAAAAGAATTCCTGCCCCTTGCATACTTCCTGGATCATCATGGCAACATCACTTCAACTCTACTTTCACATCCTAATACGTGTCATGCAAAACTTTGGCTGCTTAAATACTTTACTCTTGGACCCCGAATTCCCCACACTATTTTTAATCAGAGGTTACACCAATTACAATGGTAACAGCTTCTTTATTATATTGAAAGGACATTGATTGCTGACATTATATATCAATTAATTCTCCTCTGTAATATTACTCAAAATTAACTGAAGTTTCAATTTTTCAGCTTTGTACTCTCTACCTCTTTTACCTAGTTTGTTCTCTCTGTATCTTCCCAGACACACACGTATTATTTCATGGTAGGAGTTGATTTTATATTAGATTTTCTGAACTACTTTAAGATCTAGACAGGTTCTCATTTATTTTCTTGCATAGATGCGTTCTAAGAGCTCCAAAACCTCTTTTGGGTAAAGGAGATAAAATTACTTGCAAAATTTAGAGAGATAATATTATAATTAGGGACCTACTTAGTGGCAAGACAAAGGGTTTTTTTGTGGCTTACTGATGGTGCACAGAGCCAATTTCATGGGCATTTCATGGTGGCCCCACCCATCTGCACTGACTGGCAGAGAGGCCCTGCTCCTCAGCGCCAATTGGTGGAGAGGCTGGGGGGGGGGGGGGGGGGGAAACGAGGGGGTGGCTGCCATCTTGATTGCTGGCTGTCCCACCCCTTGCCCCATTTTAAAAATGAGGGCACTCAGCCTCAAAAAAAACATTAAAAATAATATATTTTTCTTTATCATGTATTTAAAAAAAATCAAGACAATGTTTCAACTATCATGGTTTGTACCCGAATACCTGCTGAAATACATGAATTTTTTTTTTTTTTTTTTTTTTTTTTTTTTACAGGAAGGAAATGTATCCAAAATCATAGTTTTAACTCTGCAATTCTAAAGGAGATGGGGAAGTATTTTTTAAACACTACCCTGTATGATTCCCCTGTTGGATCACCAGAATATTTCAGCTGGTACTGACTAGTTGGTTTGAAGATACTTTCAGCATAAAGACCCTGAAAAGAAATTAGCTTTTGCTATAATGAAAGATGCAATGCAAATATTTAAGGGTTTACTTACAGGTGACCCAGGAGTTATTCTTGACACCACTAGAGGCATTTTTTGATCGACACCACCCTAAAGAATGCCAAGGCAAGAATGACCATGAATACACTATCAGAGTAAATCTAAGCACTATATTAAATAACACATACTTCATCTTTTGTTCCTATATGAATAAAACATTCACACTTTGTACTTTGATCTCATCATGTATTTCCTCAAAGATGTCTATACTTTAAGGCTGTGCTAACACAGGATCAAGTTATTCTAAGGATCAAACCTCAAGTCTCCAATCATTAATACTCTTTAAGCCCTTTTGGCAGTGAAATCTAACAATATAAAAACAGGTTTCCCAGTGCTTGTACAGTGAAACAGATGGCCCCAAAATGTCCATGGATACATGACTAAGAAGAGATACTAGAGTCTGGGCCTGATTCTCATTCACATATCATGCCATATGTAATGGCAATGTCATGGCACTTTAAAGAGGACATTAATTAGAAATGTATTACGTTAACATTTATTTCTGGTTCCTTCATATGTATTAACCTTCATGTCTTCAATAACTAACTTGCCATGACCATATCCAATGGTATATCATTGACCTTTGTTCAGTTGAGAGTAAAAATCTGCTGCCTATACTTAAGCCACAAAGTCCACAAGCAGGCACCTGGAAAAAGGGTATATTTTGCTAATATGTGAAGCACTTACTAACTCCCATTAAAGCAAATGGGAACAGTGCTTGTTTTGAAGGTCAAGCCAGTAATTTACTACCTATACAGAAGATTTTAGGAATTTAATGTTTGGGAACGGTTTATAAAGTTCTTGACTTGGGCTTGAGAGAAATCCTTGTAGGATAGCTTCGAATGGAGCACTGATCATTTCAGAAAGATACAAAAATACACACTGAATGGAAACAACAACAGAGATTTGAAAGATCAAGACACCAATTCCTTTTAACTACATAATTCACAGCATGAACGACACGCCCCTGGAGGCTGGGAGGGCACAGTGACCACCTGCAGGCAGCAGCAGTGGGGCAGCAGTGAGCAGGAACCGCCCACGGGCGGCCACGATGATGGTAGCGGCAAGGGCGGGATGAGCAGGGACCACCTGCAGGCAGCTGCAAAGGTGTTGGGGGGGGGGGGGGAGGGGGAAGGGGGGGG